AGGATTTGTTTATGCACACTTGCTCCTTGTCTTCCTATTATACAGGGTCTTCCTGATGTGAACACTTCTAGCTTTGAAAAGCGCCCTGGAGGTTATTGGCTATTGCATCTCTAAATAGCAGCTTTATCTTAATATAAAAAGAAAATTGAGGATGTAATAAATAAAAAATTTAAGAAATTTAAAATATCACAAGTCAACTGCAGCATTGGTGTTCAATGTACATAACCGAGCGAATGCAAAATTCGGTTGAGAGAGAAAAAACATAAAATTTGATAAATAAAAAAAATGTTGATAATACTATATTATATCAAAAATAAAGTATTTATTACTTGGAGAAATATATGTCAGTTATGAAGTACATAGTCATTAAAACATTCTGGTAGTAATATTTCATACGACTATTATTATAATTTTCACAAATATTATTTGTTTTCCCAAAAAAACTCAATTTGGCCAATTCCAGCATTTGAAATGAAATGCTCATTCCAAAACAAAAGATATTCCAGAAACCACCATCACAATGGAGGTTAAGGATAAATCCACAACATTTATTCAGGTAACATGGTTCTACGGCTGACTAAAGTACAAAACTCTATTTACTTATTAATGAATATAGCTAGAGGCAATGTAAACCTGAATAGTTAAAACATAACTACATTCGATCATTACATGGAAGTCTAGGGAGCTAGGAAGTCTAGGATAACCTTATATTACCAGTAGATGATAAGTTGAACACCATTCTAAGATCAAATAAGGCATGACATTTAAGAGAACCAGCATGTGAGCATATTAGGCTTATTATATATTATTCTATAAGCCAAGCAATAGTAGGAGAGAGTGAGTTCTTTTGATAAATAGTGTGAAAGTAATCTACTAATTAAAGATAATAATTTGATAACTATAGTGAGGAGTCCCACATTACATGGAATATGAAATTTTGAAAAGAAAGAATAAGATTAAGAAATTGATTTAAGAAACCTACATCTTATTGGTTGGGTAGAATGACATTTTCATTCATGAGAAATATTAAAGGACAGGCCAAAATTAACAATAGTATAATTTGAAAATAAAAATAGTAGAATGGATGGAGTAATTTTTTAACCGATTGTATTGTTTATTTTTTTCTAAAAACAAAAACAATAATAAGTTCTTAAAAGAGAGGGGAAAAAAAAAAAACAAAGGTCATCTTCCATCCAGTTAACAGCCAGGCTCATAATCGTACAGAATTACTAACTGACAACTATGACAAATTGACAACTCAGGTATTACCCTAATAGTTCAACCTTGACTCATGAGTCTTAAGAGCAACTTCCAATAAGCATTGTGCTTCATCACAACCCTAATTTAATATTAAGAGTAGAAACATCTCATTGATTCCTGTACATATGTACATGTTCCTCATTTCTAATAATGAATGTTACTTGTATCATTTCATAGCGCAGTATAGAGCTTGCCTCAACTTCTTCCTTCACAAATTCGATCACCAACTCATAAAACTACAACTTAATGGTCACTAAAAAAGTGTTACTCCAATCCAGAAGATGGAAGCGTCCAGATCAGTGAAGTTGGTCCCTCAATAGCCACAGGAAACGGTAATTTTGATCTCAATTCACGCATACTATCGAAAAATTGAACCAGAACCTTGAATATTACCCTAAAACACAAATCCAGATGTTTCAATTCTATCTAAAAATGTATAACCCTGTCATACTTAGCATAATGTCTTATCAGTGAACAAAATATTACTCATACACCTTGTCAACAACCTGATTCTCTAACATCTTAGATAAACAAATCCTCATTTCCAGTTGAACTCTTGTTATATGAAGGCTCTTGTAATCTTATTTATTTACACTCAGGAAGATATTATGGTGTTGAGTTATTGTAATGATGCAAGAAAGAGCAGACTGATATGAAAAGGAACCCCATATTACAAAGGGTAAAGAATTACGAGTAATAGAAGAAAGCAGACAGTTCCCTATTCTTCCTTTAGGATGGCAGATGGAAGATAAAAGAGGACCAACAGAGACAGGTAACATAAGTACTACATATATATTTTGAGCACACAGCAAATTTACTAGTCCTTTTATGAAGCCATATTAGACATCATATCAAAGCTTCAACCCTAAGGAAACCAAAAGGCGCGGGGGTGTCAGACAATAAAAACCTACTTCTCGTTGAAGAGCAGGAAGCTCAGACTATACCAAATTATTGATCGAATGGTTTCAGCCAATTTCAGCATAGCACTGAACAGTAAGAAGAGTCTCTGACCCACTGTTGGTTGAAGCATAGGATGTAATGTATTTGCTGCGTTTCCATGTCATCAAGATGTGATCAACTAAAGTGCATGGAACTATTATTCCTTTAGGGATGCAAAATGTCAGATAAATAACCTTAGCTTGTAGATCATTGTATAGCATTACCTTCCGAACAATGCCTCGAACAAGATTCTACCTGGGATAGGGTAAAGTAAAGGTCCTCTGTTGTGACACAGCGACTAATACGCATACAGTGAATTAACAACAAAACCGATTCCAATATTTTATACATGCCTCAACAGCTTTCTCATTTCCACATATTGATATTGTCACTGCCAAAGTGCCAAGTGCCAAGTGCCAGACCTAGTTTGAGCCTCCATGTTCATGAACATGTCCCAAAAAGCTCCAATGCAATCCCTGAGTACTAGCTACTAAATCAATGTCACCCATCTCTAGTAGGACTACCACAACACCAACCTCATAGCAAAGAACACGATAGATAGTTGCTTGAAGTATTAAAAACTAAGGCTGACTAAGGTTCATGTACCATTATTATTTGGCATAGAAAAGCATATTAAGAAGTCATTAAGATCCTGTCCTGGTTCTTCCTATTGGGTAAAAAAGGCAATTCCTCAAGCTCGGGTTATCAACAGTAGTTCTGATAGGCTCTCAACTAGAGACACTAAAATTCCCTAAACCACAGTCATGACCCTATTGTGATAGTGAGAGACCCTTAAAAACGAACTGGCAGCAAATTCTAAGCTGCCTGTGCCACTAATCTAAGTATTCATCTAAGTATTAGCATATGGTATGTGCACTAGAGGGGAAAGCTTTCAATTCAGTATTGTTCTATATAGAAATTTAATGAAACAAGTTCTCAACTTTCAAATGAAATCTGATTGTCAATACTAATTTTCAATTTCCAAATGTAGCCTGCTAGTCTAGAAATAGTAAAAGAGCTTGCATTCACATGCCAGTAAAAACAAGGTCTTAGTCAGAAAGAACAAACAGCATGTTTGAAACATTTAAGAGGATAATAAGGTTTTAATTTCTAGAATGTTTAATAACTCGCACTCTGTATATAAAATGGAGGAAAAATCTCCCAATGCATTATCAGTAATATAAACAGGCAGAAATAGGAAGGTGACACCTATGAGGCTATATACCATAGTAGGGCTCAAAAAAACTCATAGGATCGACCAAACATAGAGGAGAGCTGCCCCCACTCAACATTGCCTTCATGCGCTTGTTCTACAAATAAAAACTCAGCTAATGGTGCTCAAAATAAATCACTCAACCTCCACTACACAAATAGAGAAGTTGAAACACCAAGCAACAAATTTTCCACAAACATTAATCATTTACCATTTGACAAAAATCAACACCTTTTGGTTTGATCCATTATTAATATTAGCCCTCTCCTCGAAGATCCAAATTCAAACCATTTTTTGATGTATCTTTTGAGTATCGCAAATTCATTAACTACAGAATATAAGAGAAATCTCTAATTATAGTTTAATACTCAAAGCAAAACCCCAAATTAATTTCATAATGCAACTCCATATCTTAGTATCTATGATATAAGAATTATTATGTACATTTTCCCAAGAAGTTGGTTGACAGGCTGACCTTGGTCTTTGGATAGGTTAAGGACTACTTAGGAACTGACATAGCTGACAGCTCTAACAATGGCAGAAAATTAAAAAGGAAATGATGATTATATTGATAAGATGAGAATTACAATAAATCAAAAGATAATTCCACTTTCGAGAGGTGAATTCTATATGAGCTTTGAAGTGGCTCACTCTCTCCCAAGTCCCAATAACAAACCACTCAATATTCAACATGTCCTTATTCCTCCTAATGAGACCTATCTATAAGAAATCCCTCCTAACAAACCTCTAGCTTTTTCCCTAAGTTACTACTAATAGACTATGACTAACATGCCCTTCCCCCATGATTCTATTAGTAAAGCGCACTCACTCTAACGGCGTACCTTTTGCTATATTGATTCCTTGCACTGCCATAAAAGGTAAAGGCAGAGAAACAAGGGAACCTACTAGTAGATGCAACTTAGACGCTATCAATTGAAAAAAGCGAGACTACCAAACACTGTTCTTAACTTAGACGCTATCAATCGAAAAAAGCGAGACTACTAGTAGGTTGCCCTCCTTGGAATTCAGATTGTTATTAAGTGCAAGCAAAAGGCTGCCTTAGTGCCTTCATCTTATTATTTTTTTAACAGTCCATTCAACCATCTCGTACAAGATGGAAGTAAGTAGTCTATCCATGGCAAATCCTCTTAATAGCCAGGGAAATAGATACATAGTATCAACTTATCCTAATCAAAGCTAACAGATAGTTAAGTAAATTATACCTTTGTATGAGGGTAATATTATACAAAGTATAATTACTGTGCCATTTTATTGGATTAGGAAGGTAGATGAATTTCTTATTGGTGTTGATGAATAATTTTTTATGCCTTCCTTATATCCTTTTAACTATCTATCAATATAGATAATTGTTCTTCCTTTTAAGAGTATTGCACTATGTAGTGTAGAGTGTTAAACAAAGTTCAGTCTCATACTCTCATGTCACATGTAGCTTAAATTATACACTCTTTCTGTTCACAAGTAAAAGTCCACATCTTTTACTGATTGTAGTCAAATTTTTAAAATTTTGACTATCAAATTAAGATTAGTTAAATTGAATTATGAATCAGAAAATAATTCCAGCATCATCTGAATCATTAAAAAGTATTCTTAATACTTTTCTCATTAGGCCTTAAAACTATATATGGCAATTTGACACACAACTGTTGAAAAATCATGCCAGGAGAACAAACCAACTCTATATGAAAAGAAATCATCTACGAATAATAAATAAATAAATAAGATGCAAAGAAGAATACTTACTATGACTCTTGGACAATTGAAAATGACAAATCCCTCCACAAAAATTTGGAAACGAACAAGGAGCGCCTAACCAGAAACTTGTTCAGAGAACTTTTGAGACTCTAACCATGATTGTGCTGCAGTCTTCGTTGTCAGAAACCAGCCAAGTTTATCTGGAGCTTCATGAAATGGGGCATTAAGTTTCTTCAGATGAGCAACAATTACACCTGCTAATCCTTTTTCAGAGTACTTGTGCTTTCCATGTCCTGTATTGATACCAAGCAGCGGAGGAAGCTCCTCCCCACTTTCAACGGCCTTTTCCAAGTCAGTCGTCCAAACATGTAGTGAAGTCAAAGCAGCTCCAAGGGAAAGAGATCTCAAGTGCAAAGACCACTGAGTGGGAGTTCTGGACTGTAAATCTCTGTATATTTGAGAAGTGAGACCCAGATCCAAAAGCTCACAAGCTCTATTCCACATATTAAGGTTGACACATAAATCGATCAAGCAATTACAATAAGCCTTCTTTACATCAGTGCTAATTGAATCAAAGAGTTCAGATGCAGCCCCTCTAAAATGCTCTTCACTGGTTTCAGCCTCCAACAAAATCTTCACCACATTGCCAAGTTTCTCATTAGTCTTCACAATGCACTCTATGAGCTTATCCAATTCTTCTTTTGGTGTTTGTGTCATAACATTTAAAAGGCAGCCACAAAACCTATCATCAGGAGTTATACCCAATTCCAAGACCCTATCGAAAGTCCTCACTACATCATCTGTTCGATTGGCCTTCCCATAGCATTGAATAAGCGAGGTAAGAACAAAGATATTAGGCTCAAAACCAGCTTCGACCATCTCATTTAACACTTTCTCTGCCTCTGCAACTTGTTTGTTACATGAATATACTGTTATCATAGACGAAAATGTCCAGCTATCTGGTTGGAAGGTCCCGGAACTCTTCATCTCTTCATAGATTTGTACTGCTTCCTTAACATAAGCTAGATCAGCGCACATTGCTAAAAGTGAGTTATAAAGAATAACATTGAGCTCTAGTCCTTTATCTTTCATTTCTTTATAAGTCTTGAGGGCATCATCACCATAACGAGCTCGACAAAAGGCACGCAAAAGAGCAGCATAAGTCCCCCAACTCGGGGAAACCCCATTGTTTGTCATCTCCTTAAAAATAATCTTGGCTTGCCAGGGCCTTTTGGCACGCCCCATAGCATCTAGCAATGTATTATATATAACCAAGTTAGGCTTCGCCCCAAGAGCCTTCATTTCCTCATAAACATTCAAACACCCATCAAAATTACCGGTCTTCCCATATATCTTAATCAAGGTAGAGAATGTGACAGCATCTATCATCCACCTCTCGGTCCTCGCACGATCATACAAAGCAAATGCTCTATCCACATTCCCTGCCCTTCCATAGGCATCAATCATAGCCGAATACGTAATATCATCCGGTTCGCAACCGAAATCCGGCATCTTTTCAAACCACTCAACAGCTTTATGGGGTAAATAACACAATCTACAACAGCTAATAATAGTAGAAAAGGTAGCATTATCAGGTTTAACACCTCTGTGAAGCATTTCGTCGAACAGCTTCTCTGCCCTATCTAATTCCCTACCTTTCCTCAAAACCTTCAAAGTAACATTATACAACACAACTTCCCTAACCAATCTGACCTTATTCTGGAAAAATTGAAGAGCTAATAAAGCTGTATTTGGGTTTTTCATATTATTAACAACAATAACAGCATCCTGTTCTACAACATTTTCCCCCAAACCAAACAAAACCTTAGACACAGCTTCATGAGTAGCATCACATGAATCTAAAGAATGAGCAATTTCAACAAGAGAAGAGTACCTTGAATCGTATGATAGTTTGCGAAGCTGAGCGGCTCTTGGGCTTTTGGGGTTGACCCATATATAGCTTTTTCGGGTATCTGGGTTGGAAGAATCGGGGTGATATTGAAGTGGGTCACTGAGAGAGAGTTGAGAGGATTTGACGAGGAAGAGCCTAGAATGGGAGGAGAGAGAATTGGGTTTGAGAGTGAGAGGAAGGCGAAAGGTTGAAGAAGAAGAAAAGGGGGTGAGGTGTTGAAATTTAGAGGGAAGGATTTGATAATCAGAAAGAGAAGCCATTCTATTTCTGTGCAAATGATCTTCACCTGAATTCAGTAACACTGCAAATTTGCATAGCCGAGGCCTTATCAGGTTAGCTTGTAGCTTCCTCAATCTTCATTCGTCCAACTTCCATATGCACCCTTTATTTTATGGAATTATATTGAAAAATAGCTGCATAGGCTATTGGACTAGTTTAGAGGTATAAATGACACTGTTTTGCCCGCCCTAAAGCATGGCTCGCACGACTATCCAATATGAAAAGGTTATAGGCACGGTGTAAGTACGACAATATACGACATGATATTGTCCGTATTAAGCAATGAGTTGCCTTTATTGAGGACATGGCAGTTTCTGAGATATCGGAGGCCCTAGGGCGAAGTAAGATATTGGGGCCCTATTTATACTCTCTCGGTTTCATATTACAATACTTTGCCCAAAAATCAGATTAAGTACAAATGTCTTTTTTTTTTGTTGGTTGAAATATACAGTCTTTTCCTTATAGCAAAAATTTGGAGCGCAATTATATTTTAAAAAGGTAGAGCGACTTGATAAATATTGTTCATTAAATGTTTGAATGATTCTTCTATCTTGTGTTTCATATCTAATCTCATTGGGTTTTTGGTGAAAATATAATTTTTTTTTTATTTTTTTTAATAAGAGATAATGGAGACGAGTAATGTGACAAGATAAAAGGTGATTTTAAAAGAAAAAGTAAATGAATGGATTTCGATCCGTCAACCAAAATGAATGGAAGGGAATTCTTAAGCATCATCCCACCACCAGGCCAACAAAGAACTATGTTCACATGAGCACATGAATTAGTTATATTAGCTGATCCTGTGGACTCTAAGGCTCAGCGAAATGGGGCCCTTTATGGCCGTGGGCCTGGGCAGGCGCCCCGGCTGCCCTGCCTCAAATACGGCCTTGTTTTAGGAGATGCATGATAAAAAAAAATACATCTGGCACGATTTTGTCTTAGACATGTAAACACAACTAATTCCAACATGGTGGTATTGACATGGCCCAAATCAATATGACAAGCACATTGGTGAGCTAGGTTATGTATTGACATGATTTTTAAAATTTGGCACGATGTTGACACATGGAAGAAAGATTGACTTGCAATTCCATCCAGGTTTCATACATGGAACATTTTATCACGATTCACGAGACCCGTTGGCAAGTCACATGCATTCGCTTATCTGTATGGCAATTTTTTCTTTTTCTTTTTGGTGAAAGAGAAGGGCAAGCCCTTAAAAAGTAGCAAAACATAAACTAACCAAACCCACACAGCAAAAACAAAAATAAACAAAGAAAAACAAAACAAGCTTAGACTATATTTGAACCTCAACTTATTTATTAACTACTCCTACATATTATAATATACATTGGTATTGCTAATGTACGAGATAACTCTTATTTTTTCCCTTTTCTTTTTTAATAGAGAAATAACTCTTATTAAAGTGACATTTTATATTTGCAGGATATGCTTTGCATGCAGGGAGGCCAATGTAGTTGGACCTGCGGATGAAATTGTACCAAAATATAAAGAGAACACCAATTCACAATGAGGCTGGACCTTAATAAAAAAGATCTTTCGACCACAGTGGGAGTCGAACCCACGACCTTTTGATCCGAAGTCAAACGCGCTAATCCACTGCGCTATGCGGTCTCATCTTGTTACATAAGACGGAAGTGAGTACAACACTAGGGAGATCAACACTAAGATGTTTCATCTCAAATCAATAACACTTTCACTTTTGTACAGTTGTACACTTGTACTATGCTCCCTTAGAAAATTTATGGGACTCATCCAGCAATTAGATGACTTTATGTACTTTAGTGCACATATTTTTTTTTTTTTGGAAGAATTCAGAAAAATGATGATACAACAAAATTACGGGTGTGTTCTATTCACCTGATCTTATCTGAACTTATTTTAGTTATAAATTGAATTTGGTAGCCTTAATTAACCATTATCACAACTTATTTGAACTTATTAAGTTTGAAATAAGGTGAACAAAACAAGGCCTACTTTCAAATCTTGAATATAACCTATAAACCTTTACACCCAACCTCTTGTAGAAAAGAAAAAATGTTTATTTGACCATTTAAGTCAATTAGCAACCATGTTATAAATATGAAAGTAAATGTATATAATTGAAAATCACAAGACTAATTAAAAAGAAAAAAAGACACCAAAAATATTTTATACAATAATTACATAATTCAATTAAAGTAGTAACCCAGTGCAATGGTCGGGCTATACACTAGTTAATCATTTTTTAGGGGTTACATGAAACAGATTAAGTTTTTAGATGATTAAATCTTTAAACACAGGCATATAATTGCTTTGGATATTAGACAAAGTATAAATATAACTTTGACAAATAATGTAGTACCAAATTGCTTTTAAAATCAAAATCAATGCTTTTGCACCAAATAAAAGATATAGAAAGTTGTATGAGAACATAGATAGAAAAGTGAAAAGGAGAAATAAGTGAATCATAAGTAAAAAAAAGATTAGTTTCCTCACTGTTCGTGCACCTAATTTACTACTTTCGCAATCAAGATCTAGACCTACTAATAAATGGTGGTTGATCGTTACTTTATAATTGCTTTCATTTCCCTTTGTTGTGTTATTACAGCAAAGTCGCACTTAGTTACAAAATCCAATTCATATCACCTTATAGTACATTTTTATTTCATTTAATTTATGTATGGTCCTTGACACACACAACTTGCACTATTAGTTTCTTTGGGACTAAGGTCACTCTTGTGGAAAAAGCCTAAACACATACTATCCTCCCAATTACCTCTTTCGTCAAAGATGACATTAAATACATTGAGCTTTTGGATTTAGTACCAACTTTTTATTCATCATACCAACAATTCAATTTTATTTTTTTTATTTTTAAAAATAAAGTTGAGTACCTTTTATTTGTATCTTATGTTTTAGACTATGAAAATAAAGCAAGGTGATGTCTATACATGACTATATTATAGCGAGAATCTCACTCTTATAAAAATTAATATTAATTCAACTTTTAAAAATAGTTAACGGTGTTGATACTTGGATCCGATGAATTCATTAATTTTGCTATATATAATTATAGTATGAAAAGGAATAAAGAAAAGAAATGATTAACAGATCCAAGAGAGGAAGATATAAAAAATGAGGACGTACACCTTGAAGCAATTGATTCATTAAGGTAAAGATGAATGATTGAATTTAGCGCACTAATTTAGTGCACAGAAAACGTGTAATACCCCCCTTAAACAAAGTCTCTATTAATAAACAACCTTATTATTTATATTATTATTATCATTAAAATTGGTATAATCTCTATATTAACATGAAAATAAGCCTGTAAACTGTAAGTAACCTATAGATGTGCAATTAATTAACCCATCCCAGAAAGAAAAAAAAAAAGAGGTACCAATAAGCAAACGTTTTAAAGAGGGAATGAATTAAGAGGTTCGGTGAAAAACAGGTCACATGATAGAACATGCTGAAGGATTTTCCTCGCTGAAATAATCGCAGCGACTAGCGCAGTAAGGTTGGGGTGGGCATGGTCGCCCGTAGTAACCGTACGGGTACCCGGGCCCAGGCCCATAACATGGCCCACCGGGCCTGCCTTCGTAGCAAGGAGTACAGCACATCGCTACCGGAAATGCCTGTGGTGGTGGACCTGCTGGTGGATAGCCAGGCACCCATTGGGCCTGTGGCTCCGGTTGCTTTGGCGCGGGTGCTGGTGCTGGAGCTGCAGGCGCAGGCTTAGGTGCTTGCTCTGCTGGTGAAGCTGCCTTTGGAGCTGCCTTCGGAGCTGCCTCAGGTGCTGGGTCGGATTTCTTGGAGCCATTCTTAGAGCCGTTTTTTTGCATCGGTGGCGGCTTCTGATCGGGAGCAGGCTTAGGCTTCTCATCAGGCTCAGGTGCTGGAGCAGGAGCAGGAGCCGGAGCGGCCTTGGGCTGCTTTGGAGGCTCTGGTGCTGGAGCAGGAGCGGGAGCGGGAACAGGCTTAGGTTTGTCAGGCTGGACTACTGGGGGAGTAGGCTTGGGGGGAGGCTTGATCTCGATGCTCTTAATGGATTTGCCAGCTTTGCAGCAAAGTTTGTCTCTGATCTTCTCAGGACTGCAGCAAACCACGGTGATGGTCACCGTGTTATTCTTTTCATCGAACATTTGGTTTCGTATTTCTCTTGTCATCAAATCAAATCACATAACTTAGTTCAGTATTACTTATTAATTAAATCATGCAGACAATTATCGATCAGTATAATGATATTATTAATGAGGAATGAATTGAAGGAAGAGACTCACGAGGGAATTTGCAGAGAACCTTTTTAACCTTCCTGTAGCATTGACAGCAATCAAGATCAACCTTCAACACCATTGTTGTTACCTGATCGATCAACATATTATACATTCAAATAATCAAATTAATTAATTAGAATGTATTTATATACAAACTAAAAAGAAACAAGATTGAGATGGAGGTAATACCTTTTGATCCTTAGAGCAAGTCATGGTTGGAAGTGAAAGTGATGAATGAAATGTACAAATGAAATCAAAGAGGAGTGATTATGTATAAAGCAACCAAGTAATAATATATGGTTGCTATCTAGCTATTAATATGAAAGGAGGGTGAATTGATAGAAACAAGTAGCTAGCTAATTAAGGTAGGGTAAGACAAAGAGAGGTTGAGATTATTAGAGAGACTAATTGAATTGGCCTGGATATTCTCTAAGTGGCCTGCTTTTAAATTGACTTAATGCCTCTCATTTATTAACTACTTGTATGTCGTATCTACTACTTGAGCCCTACTCTCTCATTTCCATCTCTACTAATTAGCTAATACTTATTTTTTATCGTTTATGTATAATAATAAATTAATAATGGATGTCTACATGAAAATTACATTATTGTTAGGTTCGTTATCAATAATACTTTCTCTATACTTTATTCAAATTTTTAGAGTCATCGTATGTCCTCTTATTTTCCTACTTTTTCATACTTACCAAATCAAGCAAAAATATCAAAGTGCTTCATATATATATTCTACTCATAAATATATTACACCAAAATTGGTCATATTCTTAGAATGTTATATTGTTATTCTCAATTTTATTAGAATGAGATGATGGCATCCATTGATATTCTAGCTTGATTTTAAAAAGAAAATATTGATGTCTTTAACAAAATTTTCTTTATTAAAGAAGAATTTATCTGAAAATTGGAATTGACAACTGCGTAGTACTTTCTACCTTTCCATAGTACTAGTAATAGTAATTGGTAATGCTTGCTATAAAAACAACAAATAAGCAAAATCACGAAACAAGGGGAAGAATAAAAAGGTGTTTCATTCACTTCACTAATCACTAGTAATGATAACACAAAAAAAAATAAACAAGGGTTAGCCACGTATGATATCGGCGTTGAATTTGATGGAATTAGAAACCTTATTAGCTTGAATTGTCTCAAATGTCTTCATGTATGGGATGGTGGGCTCATCATTGGCCTCACCCACCGCATTCCCATTCGCTCATGCCATGTGATTTGTGAATTGTGATTGCGTCTCGCTCTCACATCATATCCTTTGATTCCAACTTCTTACCTCCTAGATCCTAATCCATTCTTCCTTTTTCACATTTTAGCCCCATATCATACTGCTTCCATCCCTTCCTAATCCAATCTCTCATGCCATCGTACAAGTTGTTTTTATTTATGCGTAAAGTCTTGTACAAAATTGAAAAGAGGACATGGCAAATATACGATGATTATTTGTAACAACGATTGTAATTTTACTGAAAGAATGCTTTTATTTTATTCAATTATCATGTGATTGATCTAATCAGAAACAGGAAGTTTAATAAATATGATTGTAATTTTATGCTTTTATTTGTACATTACAATATTGCTATATTAATGCATGTTAAACTTTTTTTTAAAAAAATTATAATCCATGTTAAACTTGTCTGAAGCATTTTCATCTTTCCATGAAGGCATGTATAATATGGAATTATGGAGTATTGTAATGTACTGACAACTATTTTATATACTCGGTTTTTTTTTTTTAGGGAATATACTCTGTATTTGTATGTAGTGAAATTATGATTATTTAATTTAATAATTAAAACCCCCAATAAAATCCCCATACTTACTACCTATCATAATTTTACAACCTCTCACCAAGAAAAAATTGAATTAACACTTAACTTCAAGCACCAATAGATCAATACCACATTTATATATACAGTGCAATAAATTAGTATAGTAGTAAGCTAGTAAGTAGTAACTGATTATCATTATGTCCACATTGACATTAACCCCACAAAAAAAAAAAAATTGGTCGGCCTCCATATGTCAAAATTGACGCAACAATGTTTTGAAAGTGGTTTAACATTTGTCTGTATAATAAACTCCATCAATAAATTTACCAAAGTATCATAATTTTTTTTAACAAAATTACCAAAATACCACACAATATACATGTTTTAATCTTGTATATAATAGATATATACTTGCATAGTTGCATTGAATACCATATTTTAATATTACTCGTATAATTCTGTCCATTTTTTCGTTATAATCATTCGATCTTTTAAATTTTAGGCATCTTTCACTTGCTTTTCCTCACCCTACTACATAAAAGTATAAGGATTTAGGAGTACCTTCAATAAAACTTTATAACAACCGAGTAGAACAAAAAGAGTGCAAAGGAATAATTAACTCAACAACTAACTGTTATTGTTCCAACAAATTTCATGCAAAACTTTGTTGGTACGTTATAAAAAAGATGCAGGAAGATAGATGAGTTGGTAGATTTAGTTGCTACTTAATGAGAAATAAGGAAAAAGTTAAGAATTTCTTATTTTATGTTTTTTGTTAAAAAAAAAAAAAAAAAAAAAAAAAAAAAAAAAAAAAGTGTACGATCGAAACAAAAATTAGAAGGTACGTGAAGTTTCATGGTTGGAAAGAGTAAAAAAAAAAAGGGAAAATAAGCGAACCGCACATGGCCAGCTTTGTGTGTGCCCGTCGGCCCGCCAACATCTACCTTGGAATTAGTCCAACTCATTACTCATTTATCACAATCATTCATTTAAAGGAATTTTCGATTGAGTAGTTTCGTTTCTTGTATGATATGACCTCACCTCATTCATATTCAATTCCTAGCTTTAATTCCTACTACTACACTAATAGTCTTAGTTGTTACTTAGATCATAACTAATATAGTTCCCTCTGTATCTAATTAAGTAAGTGCATCTGTTTGAGTTTTACGCTATTTACATATTATTTTTTTATATATATATAAGTAGGCGGATTAATTACTAACTTACTACGTATATTTTTCACAAATTTGAAAGTTAAACTTATACTATATTAAATATATTATTGATCAAAGTTCTACAAAATATGTATACCGGTCGAAAGTGATAAATAGATATAAAGAAAGTATATCATAATTTAATTATTTATTTGATTGAGATTATTGATTTTGTTTTTTCTTTGACAAAGAGATGATATGATTGTATTGATTATAGGCTTATAGCGTATATGATTGAAAAGTAAGGTAAGATATTCTCCATCCTTCATTAATTATTGCTATTTAGAAGAGTCTCCCATAGTAGTCACATGTATGTGAGTCTTTTCCACATAGTAGAGGAGTGTTAAATAATAATTTAATAAAATAATGGAGTAATTAAGGAGGAATCAGATGACTAACATACAATTTTTAACTATATATTGGAGTTTTATATTGTCAAATGTTATAGTAACTAACGTGAGTTTAATTTACCCTAATGAACATTTATTAACCAAATACCAAATAATGTTCATATTTTTATTGAGTAAATTATGTTATATTGATAAAATACAAGTCAATAAAAGTTTCGAAAAAGTTAAGTACTATAACAAAAAAACAAGGGGAAAAAGATGTTATTACTATATGTAGCTAGAAGAATAACCAAATAACCCTATCACTAAAAGTTTGGCGTCGGTGGCTAAGCTAATCCATTCAAAATCCCAGCTCATTAATTTGTACATGTTTTACCTACCATTTTCCCTAATCCACTAAGCCTCCAAAAATGACGATGGATTTGAAATTGCATGCATGCTTAATATGTCCCACTACATAGTACATACTAATGTATGTCTTATTTATGCCCCAATTATTCAAATTTGGTTATCTTTCTATCATATTGTACAAAGTAACACGTAAATTATATTCGTATGATACAGTTGGATGATTTTGAGGGATAACTCCTAACCTCACAAGCTTAGCTTAGAGTTAGTATGAAAGTTTATGTCTGATCTCTCAACTTAAAAAATCACAAGATCAAGTTGAGGATTTCGTTCCATCGTTAACCATTTTACAAGGTCCAATAACACCATGTTACAAGGTAGCTAGAGTCAATCGGTTATATGTAGATATTACTAAATAGATTAATCTTTATATACTCTGTAATTAATAGGGTACAAGTGCATGGGCTAGGCACACAATAGCCTTGATTATACATACAATGCATCATGCATGTGGTACAACGGTATAATTAGTTATTTGTGAAAATTACTAAATTGATTTCATATGTGCACGTATATTAATGTTAATTTTTGACCAATAATATCTTTAATTAGCAATATATAATTAAAAATTGGGTAATGATATATATGTAGCCATTAGGGCTATGTATAATCATTAAATAAACTTCCCAAAATTGACTTAAGTTGGGAATTTATGGCAAAATCACACACAGATGGGTGTAATAAATGTTAATATTTTCTCAACCTTTTCCTTTTGAGCTTCTTATCAATTGGGAATTTATGACTTATCCATAGCTTTAAGGGTTATGTTTATCATTTTCCTTAAAAATTACATCAATTAATAATCTATTCATTGAGATTATTATTCCAACAATATCCAAAAGATTTTTTTTTACTACTGTACTAATTTATTTTTTTTCCTAATGGATTCCAAATATCATACTTTAATATCTCCATCTAGTTTCTCTCTTATTTCAACTATCATACTTTATCTTTCACCGGTACACCAATTAACCCTACTTCATATTTTATTACACTATATTATTTATTTTAAAACACTGTGTATGGAGAAATGAAACAAGTAAAAATACAAAGGGAGTATATCTTTGAAAAGTAATTAAGAAAATAACATTATGTCTAGGTAATTTTTTCATGAACTTTCTCGGTAATAAAACATGATTAATTAATAATAATTAAATATGCTTGTACAAGTCAAGTCATTACATTTTATTTCAATATATACCCAAAGAATTAGAATGTGTATCTTAAAAGTGCACGCACTCAAAGAAAAGTTTGACTAGTGCAATGCTTTTGGAAAAAGTCAATTAAATTAAGTTTGGAGTATGGTAATATGGTTATCCTACGTACCATTTCAACCTAGCTTGATTTTCCATTGTGAAATTAATAACTCAGCTTTCAAATACATTGAACCTAAGTTGACAGATATTGATAATTGAATACAAAAGTGTTCCTTATATATATAGCACATTGAATTGTCCCAACCAATAAAAAATATATATTCCGTATTGTGGAAAATGAAAATTATTTAAATATACAAAGTAGTAATGTCTGTATGACTAATAAATTTGGCAAAGTAAAGTGTAGATAGTAAAGATAAATTATAAATGTGAAGACTTTACAATATTAAGTACGGAGTAATTTCTTTACCTGTCATAGAAGAAAGAAAGGTGAATGTAGTATATTGCCTGATATACTAATTGTTGGACTCAA